TACCGCGCCGCCCTGCGGACGGGTCTCGGTGGGGCGCGGCGCGGCGCCGCCAGGCGGGGCTGGCCTGCTTATTTTTCTCCCCACTGCGGGCTGCCCACTGCTTCCCTTTTTTGTTTTTTAATTTTTTTTCGGTCCTACAATTCATTTGTTAGGGGTAGCTTTGAAGACAAAATTCACCCGTCAAGACGTTCTGGTGGCCCTCTATAACAGGCATTTAGGACGCATCCAATAGGACCAGTCGGGCCTTACAAGCAAACTCCAGGCTGTTACAATTTTAAAGAACAACAACACAGGGAGGAGGGAGGCCAGCGAGGGTGTGCCCCAAGTTGTCCTCAGCTGCTTTGGAGCGAAGTTCAGGGCGCGCGCAGCTGGACTCGGGTCTTCCCGCCTCGCTGGGAGGGGACCGGCGCGGAGTAAAGAGCACAGACCGTGGAGTACGGACGCCGGGTTGTGCTATTTACAAGCTGTAGCGCTTGGGCGAGTCCATTAACCTCTCTGAGTCTCACTTTCCTCCTGTATAATGAAGGGTTTGAGACCTGACCTTCTAAGGCCTTTGTCTGCTCTGGAGCTGCAGCCTTGCAGAGATGATGTGTGGCTAGAGATGCACACTGTACCAAGAGTCAAGATTCTGGTTCGGGGCCTGCACTGGCCTCAGTTTAACCAACTTGTAAAGTAGCGCCATCCGTATCCCAGAGTCCTTAGGATGACCAAATGGGGAAGATACGTTGTTGGTATTTCACTGAGGACTGTGAAGCACTATGCGCCCTAACACACACAGTGCCAGTCCTCAGTTTCCTTATCTGCAAAGTGGAGGCGTTGCTAGGAAAGAAAAATAGAGCCGGGAACTCAAAGCTTTCCCGGGGCTCTATATAAAGCGCTGGCGTTTCCGGGACGGCTGGCGGCATCTGGCCGCCCCAAGGGCCCCAAGATACGGTAATCCCAAACAATACTCGGGGTCATTGTTTACAGTTATAAAACACATTCTGTTCTGAGCTCCATCCCCAAGGACGTGCGCGCGCGGCGGGGTGAGGCCGGCCTGACCCTTCGCACCTCCGCCATTGCCCGCCCAGCAGAGCCTGCAACTGCGCGGGCCCAGGCGAGGGGTGTGGGGTCGGCGGACACGCGCACCAGCCGTGGGTGCTTGGCTTTTTTCATCCCTGCGTCCTGGCCTGCCGGAGTGTTTACGCGCCTCTCCCAGCAGGACTGAGTAAATGCAGTCCTTTGACGCAAAACGGATCAGCCCTTCCCCGGCGGCAGCAGCAAAACCCAGAAAACTGGGGGTGGGGACGGGCGCAGGGCATAGAGGAAGAAATCGTGACACTTTCCTGCTCGCCTCCCAGTTCCCTCCCCGCGCCACGCGGGCCCTAGCGAGGTCTTGGAGGGGCTGTGAAGGGAGGCGCGGCCGGGCGCGCAGGGTCCTCCCCAGAGCAACAACGTGTTGGAGAGGCGCGAAAACGCACTTTTGGTTTTCCTTTGAGCAGCAGCTGCTGCCCCACCCTCCCCCATCCTGCGCTCAAAAATCCGGGTGCCGCTGGGTCTCTCCCACACAGTCCTTCCAGTAACGCGGGGGGGAAAGGAGGGGGAAGGAGAACAGGAGCTTCCTTCGCGGCCTCCGCCGTCCCGGGCGCGCCCAGCCCTGGGCAGGCGCCGCCGGGAGCGCGCCTGCGGGCGAGCGCACCCTCGCGCCCTCTCCCGCCCCCGCGTTGCCCTCTCCCCGGGTCCTTTCCTTTCTTGTGGGTTCCCGTAAAGCCCAGCAGCCCCCAGACGTCTGCAGAGCATCACGGAATCTGTGCTGATGCAAGTCGCTGTCCTCCCTTTGGTGCGCCCCGGCCTGCCTCCGGAGCGCTTTGATCCAAGCCTTGCCCTGCTCCAGAACTCGGGTTGGATTTGTCTGCCCGCTGGGAGGCCTGCGTACTGCAGCCTGCCCTCACCTTTCTGTCCCTGAGCGCCAGGCTCAGGGGTACGCCCCCGTGCTGCCTCCAGACCGGCCTCCCCTTGCCTCAGCTGATACCGGAGGAGCTACCTGCGCCCAACAAAGAACGCAGTCAGTCTCCAGACCCAGTTCAGTGAGCCCCTTTTGCAAGGAACCGTTCTGGGGTCACCCAGTTAGCCAGGGTCCTTTGGTTCCCAAGAACAGGTAATGATAAGAATGAAGGTGAACCTTTACTGAGGGCCTAACCAAAAAAACATTGTAGCACGTAATGCTCACGACAAACGTTTGAGGTGGGTCCTATTCCCGGCAGCAGATAAAGAAAGTGAGCTTCAGTTGTTTGTCCAGGAGAACTGATTGTTGCGTTTGTGACTAGTTGAGTGTACAGATGAGATTCTCTGACATCAGGCTCTTGCTTAGACGCAGCATTACCCGCCGTCCACGTGAGAGTGTCTTTCTCTCTGGTCTGGGGAAAGCAGGGGCTTCCTTTGGCGATGGCTTTAACTTACTCTTACAAGTGTCCCTTAGTTCTCAGCTGAATAAGTAGCCCCAGCCCTAGCACCATCACTCAGCTTCTGGAAGAGGTCATGCAAGTGAGGAAAAGGAGGAGGTGTGCTGGGTGGGGACAAAAGGGTAGGTGGAGCTGGCTTCTCGTGGCCTCTCTGGCTGTCAGGGACACCCTTGGCACCCTTTGCCAGTTTGTTCCTGCAGCCCAGTGTCTGGCACTTGAGAGATGACCTATCAGTTTGGGGGATATTTTGCAAGGGAGAACAATAATACAGGGCACATATTTTATAAGATCGTAATAGTCACCCAAAGAATGATATACAAGAGAGTGCAGGAAATCTGTCCACACACTAAGACCAAGGTATCCAGCTGAGGGCCTGGATACCATGGAAATGTCCTGCATGAGTCCAGCTGAAGACCTAGAGCCCATAACAATATCTCATGCAAGTCTGTTTCACGGATCTGCGCTGGAAAGGGCAAAAAGTCAGTTGGTCTGTGCCAAGGGGATGAAGGATCTGTACTAACAGGCTGAGAGGTCTGCACTGGAGCCAGGAAGCGATGCTCAAAGTAAGAACCAGAGCTCCCCTGAAAAGTACCACAGCCATCCTCAGCAACAGTGAGGTCCCGAGCTCCTCCAGTGGTGAAGGCAGCTGAGTTCCCATCAGGAAAGCCAACGCAACAAACTTCTCCAAGAGGGGCTGGGGATTTAGCTCAGCGGCAAAAGCGCCTGCCTGGCAAGTGCAAGGTTGTGAGTTCGGTTCCCGGTACCGGAGAAAAACCAAAAAAAAAAAAAAAAAAACAAAAAAACAAACTTCTCCAAGAGACTGGCAGTGCACCATCTTCCCCTCCGGAGCCAGGAAGTGATGCTCAAGGTGAGGACCAGAGCTCTCCCAAAGTGAACCGAAGCCATTCTCAGTGCCAACAAAGTCCTGAGCTCCTCAGAGGATGAAAACAGCTGAGTTCATTAGGAAAGCCAGCATGACAAGCTCCTCCAACAGAACCAACAGCTCCTTACAGCTTCCACCAGCTCCCAACAGCCTTTCTTCGCTTCCAACAGCCCAACTTCTCCAGTTCTGCCTCTTATGCTGCTGGCAACAATCCCCAGGTGGGCCTCTCACACTCAGCACCACTCTTACTCAGTTCGGCTGGGGGTTATAAGTTGATCACCAGTTGTCAATCCACTATACACATACATGGCCTTGACTGTCCTCACACACAGCATACCCGTGAGGGATGTGGACAGCACTCTGAATACTCTCTGGCAAATGCATTGCCAAAGAAAGAACAGTGATAGAGCAACTGCCTCAAGATTTTTTTAGCCTGTGACTGAGTGGCAGAGGCTGAACTCAAAGCCATCTCATCTCACCTTAAACCTAGTGCTCTGTCACCCTTGAAGGTTTAGGAGCAAATTTGACTTCTTAATGATAAACTGACATCTATCCATCATTCCTGAACAAAGACACCATCATTTCTTTATAGAAGTCATACATTTTGATGATTTATCATTTGTAAAGGCCAGATGCATCTTATAATTGATAACTGTTTCACGTAAAAGTGCTTCTATTTGTCCAGTGACTTATAACTGGGTCAAGGGGCCATCAGAAGGCAAATTTCAACCCAGGTGGTTCAAAGAAAAGGCCTTAATGGTGAAGCTGTTTAGAAAGGTTTGGGCAGAGTTAGAGAAGGAGGACCAGGTAGCACAAGCCTGTAATCCCAGCACTCTGGGAAGCTGAGACAGGATGGCAAGTTCACACTCAACCTGGGCAATTTAGCAACTTAGTGAGACCCTGTCTCAAAATAAAACAAGGGTAGGGGATGTGTCTTAGTGCAAA